GAATTCTCCCGAGTCACCTGGAGTTCAAGGTGGAGAGCAGCATTCGGCTTTAACTGATCTCTCCCTCACCTTGTAAGAGAGCCAGGTAGGACTGCGTACCCAAGCTGACCAACATCTTAAGAACAAAGCTTGCTCCTGTTCCCTTTGTGCAAGCCACTCCTCCGCACCAGAATAAGGTTTCAGACCCTTTGAATCTCATAAACTCTGTTCCCCGATGTACCCATTGGCTGTGTGTGCGAGAACACACATCCTATCCACTCATTTCTATTTGTTCCTCTTGGGAGGGAGGATCTTTATGGGGAGTAGGGTCGAGAGTGAGTTGGGGTGGGTAAGCTGAGGTCCTTCCCAGCTCAACTGGTTTTCTCATAAAGTAAATGATTTGATGTGCCATTAGGCAGATTAACCTCTATTCCAGAACCACACAATCTATTATTCTACATTAGGCAAGTCTAATCTTTCTATTGGCATTTGTTCTTTCTCTGGTTTTCGAAGGCTCGCCATGTTAACTGCCTGGTTAATTTAAAGCAGTATTTAAATAGATCTGTTTAATCTGAGCATGATGTGGGAGAGTGAATAGCCAGTATCCTTTGATGCCACTCTACTAGTCTGACATTTAGTTGTTTATATAACTTTGTGTGCAACAAGGTCATAGATGTTGACTTGAATTAATTTGAGGGAGTTATTGGAAGTCTGTGGGGGAGAATACAGAGTGATGGAGGCTGCAAGGCAGGCAGGCAGGAATGGAGGAGCTATGAAAGGAAGCCAGGAAAGCAGAACCCTAGCTTCTCTTAAGTCAAGGGGAGAGAGGAGAGCCTGCCCTCTCTGCATGGTGCCTTCCAGTGTCTTTGTCTGAACCCCTGAGCCATCTTCTTCTCACGTGCCTGGCCTCTGGTCCTGCTGAGTCAGGAAGGGTAAGGTCTGTTCCCTTCAGCTTCAGCTTTGGAAAAGCAGTTGGCCGCTGTCCCATAGAGATCATGCACAAATGGATGTTCTAAGGAGCCAGAGCATTGCAAATGCAAGGCAGCATATTCTTACAGGGAACAGCTGTAAGGAGAAAAGGGTTGGAAATTTAGGATGTGACAAATGGGAAGGAAAGTGAAAACAAAAATAGGAGTGGGCAAGAGCATAGGACGTACTCTCTCAAAAATTGTTTGGCCTCAGATAACATACTCATGTAGACCACTGTGGTTCCCCGCTCCCAACTGTGGTTCTCAACCTTCCTGATGCTGTGACCCTTTAATACAGTTCCTCATGTTGTACTGACCTCCAGCCATAAAATCATTTCGTTGCTACTTCATAACTGTAATTTTGCTACTGTTATGCATCAGGATGTAACTATAGCTGATATTCAGGATATCTGATATGTGACCCATGTGGGGTCTCAACTCACAGGTTGAGAACTGCTGTGAGTAACAGAATTTTACAAGGTCTCTGAAAGCTGGAGTACTAATTAGGCAATCTCGAACTAGTTATCTTCTCGTACCACTAGATGGTGCTTTACAGATGGCAAGTGTGCAGGGATCTTGGCTAAGTATCCAGCACACTTAATAAACTTTCCTTACCAACCATTCAAGAAACATTGAAGAATTTAAGCCCTGGGAAAAGTTATTTAACCCAGATGTGTAGTTGGGCAGAGGGACATCCTAATAACATTTGAGACTTGGGTACAAGATCGAGATAAATGTTGGAATGAGAACTCCAGTTTAAGAAAGAATTCCAGCTGGGTGTTGGTGGCGCACGCCTTTGATCCCAGCACTTGGGAGGCAGAGGCAGGCCGAACTCTGTGAGTTCGAGGCCATCCTGGTCTACAAAGAGAGTTCCAGGACAGCCTCAAAGCAATACAGAGGAACCCTGTCTCATAAAAACCCAGAGAGAGAAAGAGAGAGGGAGAGAGAGAGAGAGAGAGAGAGAGAGAGTGAATTCCAGCAGGGCACTGGTGGATCACACCTTTAATCCCAGCAGAGTCAAATCAGAGGCAGAAACCCTGTCTAGAAAAACCAAGGGGCGGGGAGGGAGAAAGAATTTCAAGGGGTAAAAGTGGCTTGAGAAAGTACAATGTCTTACAGGAACTGAAGGTGGTGGATTAAGAATGGAGAATCCCTGGCTCTCAGTTCAGACTCTGTGGACTCCTACAAACTCAGGTTAGTTGTTTCTGTGGGTTTCTTTGTGATGTCTTTGAACCCCTGACTCAGAGGTTCAAAGAAGAAGTCCTTTCTTCTTCTCTTCTTCAGGATTCCCTGAGGTCAGCTCAATGCTTGGCTGTGGGTCTGCATCTGTTTCCAGCAGCTACTGGATCATGCCTCTCTGATGACTATTAGGCAATCTATGAGTATACCAGAATATAATTAGGCATCACTATGTTGCCTTTTTCCCTCTCTGATCATGTTTGGTTCTGTCTCAGGTCTCTGGGCTATGCAGCCTCTGGGTCCTGGTACTCCAGACAGTGTCAGGGGCAGGCTCACTCTCATGGTATGGGTCTGAGACTGAACCAGCCATTGGTTGGCCACTCCAACAATCTCCATACCACCTCTAGCCCAACTCTCACCCCTGCCACCCACATCCCACAAGCAGGACAGACTGTAGGTCAAAGGTTTTGTATCTGGGCTGGTGTCCCAATCTCTCCACTGGAAATCCTGCCCAGTTATAAGAGGTGGTCAGTTCAGGCTATGCATCCACCATTGTTAGGAGTCTTAACTGGGCTCATCCTTATAGATTCCTGAGAGTTTCCCTTGTATCCTGGCTGTCCCGGAACTCACTCTGTAGACCAGGCTGGCCTGGAACTCACAGAGATCCGACTGCCTCTGCTTTCTGAGTGCTGGGATTAAAGGCATGCACCACCACTGCCCAGCTATAGGTTTCTACTGACCTGGTAATGCTCCCACTTTCCACCCATCTCTTAACATTCTCTCCCTCTATCCATCCCCAGCCTGATCCCTCATGTTCCCATCTCTACTGTCCCCAGTCCACCCACAAAATCTCTTCTATTTCCCCTTCCCCAGGAGATCCATGCATCCCCTGCCCCTTGAGCCCTCCTTGTTATCTAACCTCTATGGGTCTGTGGATTGTAGCATAGTTATCCTTTACCAATAATATCCATTTATAAGTGAGTACATACTATGCTTGTCTTTCTGGATTTGGATTATTTCACTTAGGATGATTTTATTTTCTAGTTCCATCCTGACAGGTGTAATATGGAATCTCAGAGTCATTTTGACTTGCATTTTTCTGATGGCTAAGGAGGTTGAACATTTCTTTAACTGTATCTTGCCATTTGAGATTCTTCTGTTGAGAATTCTCTGTTTATATCTCTACCCCCTTTTTTTTGTATTGGCTCTGATTTATTTATTTTTACATTTTATTTTCTTATTTTTAAAATTTTTTAAATTAATTTATTTTTTACATTTCAATTCCAGTTCTCCCTCCCTCCTTTCCTCTTACTCCCCCTCCCCCCACCTACTTGGAGAAGGTAAGGCCTCCCCTAGGAAGTCTACTAAGTCTGTCCCATCATCTCATTGAGGCAGGACCAAGGCACTTCTCCACACCCCACACCCCACACCCATGTCTAGGGTGGGCAAGGTATCTCTCCATACAGAATGGGCTCCACTAAGTCAGTTTGTGCATTAGTGTTAGATCTTGAACCCACTGCCAGTGGCCTCATACATTATCCCAGTCACACCATTGTCACCTATATTAAGGGAGTCTAGTTTGGTCTTATGCAGGTTCCCCATTTGCCAGACCTGAGCCAGTGATTTCTCACTAGCTCAGGTCAGCTGATTCTGTGGGTTTCTCCATCATAGTCTTAATTCCTTTATTCATATTATCGATCCTTCCTCCCTTCAACTGTACTCCAGAAGCTTGGCCCAATGGTTAGTTGTGGATTTCTGCATCTGCTTCCATCTGTTTCTGGAAGAGGGTTCTAGCTTCTTTGGGATTGTGGATTGTAGGTTGGGTATCATTTGCTTCATGTCTGGTACCCACTTAAGAGTGAGTACATACTATGTTTGTCTTTCTGGTTTTGGGTTACCTCACTCAGGATTTTTTTTTTCTAGTTCTGTCCATTTGCCTGCAAATTTTACAATGTCATTGTTTCTTACTGCTGTGTAGTACTCCATTGTGTAAATGTGTCACATTTTCTTTATCCATTCTTCAGTTGGGCATCTAGGTTATTTCCAAGATCTGGCTATTACGAATAATATTGCTATGAACATAGTTGAGCAAATGTCCTTGTGGTGTGATATACCCCATTTTTTAAATTGGATTATTTGGTAATTTGATGTCTTGTTTCTTGAGTTCTTTATATATTTTGGAGATCAGCCCTCTATAAGATGTAGGATTGGTGAAGATCTTTTCCCATTCTGTAGCATACCATTTTTGTCTTATTTACCTTGTTCTTTGCCTTACAGAAGCTTTTCAGTTTCATGAGGTCCCATTTATTAATTGCCAATCTTAGTGTCTGTGCAGAGGTGATGGGGAGGTTTGGGGGTAGAATGATGTGATTATATCATTTCAAAAAGGAAAAAAATATGGAGAGAAGGCAAGCATTCCAGGTGTGAAGAATGTATGGATTTTGATTAAACTATGGCAGTTTAAGCCTGGCGTTGGTTGCACACGCCTTTAATCCCAGCACTCAGGAGGCAGAGGAAGTGGGATCTCGGTGAGTGAGAGCCCAGCCTGGTCTACAAGAGCTAGTGCCAGGACAGCCTCCAAAGCCACAGAGAAACCCTGTCTCGAAAAACCAAAAAAAAAAAAAAAAAAAAAAAATTATGGCAGTTTAATTGTCCAGTATTGGGCTATCAATTCTGCATCTTAGGGAGGATCCAGACCTTGGCAAGTGGGCTGTGTTAAATAACTTCTTTGATTATATCTCTAAGAATTCTCACCACTGGGGACTGGGGAGATGGCTCAGTGGTTAAGAGCTCTTGCAGAAGATCTGTCCTAGGGTTTCTATTGCTGTGAAGAGAGAACATGACCACGGCAACTCTCTCTCTCTCTCTCTTTTTAATTAAAAAGCTACTTTTAATACTTTGGGGTGTGCCCCACAGGAATAAAAAACACTGGGAAGGGGTAACCCCCTCACCCCCAGGTGTGGCCCAGGGGGAGAGAGGCTACCTGAGGGGAAGGAAGCACAAAAGGAACCCGCTGCAGACTCAGGGCAAAGGGAATGCCATCAGTTCTGGGACCTGTGAGCATGGTGGGACTGGCTCCAGGCACACAGCCGAAGGGCAAGAGGGTTGGACACGAAGCCACAAAGCTACTTGGGTTCCTCTTTCTTCTCGTTTGCCTTTTTCTGCTTCTGCTGCATAATCCCCAAGTCCCTCTGCTTGAGGGCGACAGCAGAAAGCCCATCATCTTAGCGCTTTCCCTTAACTGAATCTTTCTGCTTCTTCATGTTCTGGCGGGGGAGCGGGGGACTGCAGCGGCTCCATCTACTTCCATTTTGTCCCCTCGTTCCCGCCCCACGGCAACTCTTACCAAGGAAAATATGTAATTGGGGCTGGTTTACATTTTCAGAGGTTTAGTCCATTATCACCATGGTGGGACACAGTAGTGTGCAGGCAGACATGGTGCTGGAAAGGAAGCTGAGAGTGGAGAAGGAGCTACAATCTTAATTCCACAGGCAATAGGAAATGATCTGTCATACTGGGCATGGCTTGAGCATGTATGAGACCTCAAAGACTGCCTCCACAGTGACACAGTTCATTAAACAAGGCCACACCTACTCCAACAAGACCACATCTCCTAATAGTGTCACTTCCATTTTCTTTCAAAACACCACAGACCCTAGGCTTTGTTCCTGGTACCTATGTCAGGCGTCTCAGCCACCTGCAATTCCAGTTCCAAGGGACCTAACACCTGACCTCCACATGCACCACCCCTCCAGGGACTCAACACACACACACACACACACACACACACACAAACACACACACAATTTTTTATAAAGATTTTTTATTATGTATATAGTCTTCTGCCTGCATGCCAGCAGAGGGCACCAGATCTCATTCAAGGTGGTTGTGAGCCACCATGTGGTTGCTGGGAATTGAACTCAGGAACTCTGTTAAAACAGTCAGTGCTCTTAACCGCTGAGCCATCTCTCCAGTGCCCTAAAACAAATCTTAAATGCGATTAAATAAACAAACAAATAAATAACAAAAGATCCCCATTGCTTTTCTGGTTCAATCCTTGCTTCCTAACTTCCCTACTTCTTCATCTATTCTCTCCATTCAGCTATATTGGACTCATTGCAAAGCAATTGATATTACATTAAATACATGGAACTGCAAATACTTACGAACCACTTAACAGTGTCTATAAAGAAGGATAAGAAAAAGTCCCTGCTTTATAGAATGGAAGCTTCCACTCAATAGCTTATTTCACAGTGTTCATTTGCCCACTTAGTGACTGATTGTTTTAATCTTTTATATTATATTACATTATATTATATCATATTTGCTATAACCCCGCCAAAGTTTCCCTTCCCTCCAGTCCTCTCAGTCCCTCTCCCTCTCCCCCTCCTTTCCATAGAGCCACTCCTCCTCCATTTCCTTTCAGAAAGGAGCAGGCCTCCAAGGGATATCAACCAAATACAGCATAACAAGTTACAATAAGACTAGGCACATACCTTCATATCAAGGCTGGGTGAGGCAATTCAGTAGAAGGAAAAGGGTCCCAAGAGCAGGCAAAAGAGTCAGAGACAGCCCCCACTGCCATTGTTAGGTGTTCCACAAGAACGCCAGGCAACACGACCATAGTATATATGCAGAGGACCTAGCTCAGACCCATACAGGCTCCTTGACTGTTGCTTTAGTCTCTGTGAGCTCCAACTGCTTAGTTGTTTTTGTGGGCCATGTTCTCACGGGTCCTCAACCCCTCTGGCTCTTACAATCCTTCTTCCCTCTCTTCAGCAGGATTCCCTGAGCTCCACCTAATGTTTGGCTGTGGGTCTCTGCATCTGCTCCCATTAGTTGTTGGATGAAGCCTCTCTGATGATGATGATGTTACACTCCAGTCTATGAGTATAGCAGAATATCATTAAGAATCATTTCATTGATTTCCTGTTTTCCCCCTTTCTTGGTCAGTCATGTTTGGTTCTATCCAAGGCTTCTGGACTATCCATCCTCTGGTTCCTGGCCCTCCAGACAGTGTCAGGTATGAGATCCCTCTTGTGGTGCGGACCTCAAGTTGGACAGTGACTGATTATTATTATTATTTTTTTTAGCAGGTTTTGAAAGTAGGAAACAGGTCTGACTATACAACTCCAGTGTTGTGTTTGCTTCCCCTACTTTGAGAGCATTTCAGAGGTACATCCTGGCTAGAATATTAGCCACCTAGGGTATACCAACTGGGGAGGAGAACTAGATCAGCCCAGAGACTGCAAAGCTTGGTGTGGCAAAGAAAGAACCCTGGGATGCAAATAAGAAAGACACCAAGGTGAAGACATCTCTAGACAACATCAGCACAAGTCACAGAAGGACAAGAATCTACAAGTTCTGTTGACTCCTTCCAGAGAGCATCTTAAGGGACACTAGCCCACTTGAGTATATGGTTCTGGCAGGCCTTGCCCTTCTCTCCAATTCTCTCTGCCTTTCTAAAAATATAAGGTTACGTTCCATGGGGAGAAAGGATGCTGCTCCTCCTTGCTATCTGGGCCACACTGCTGCCTTGTTCCAGAATGAGGATAGAGGCTTTTGGACCCTTGAACCCCACGGAGAGCCAAGTGTCTCTCCATGTCTCATGGGGAGGTGGGGGACAGACGCCATGTGGGTTGGTGTATTTTTAAGATCCCTGAGCGTGTGTGTCAGTGTCTGCATGAAGTGGAATAAACTTGCCCACTGCCAAACAAACAAACAAAAAGGTTACGTTCCTAAAGCTAGCAAACAATCTCTGTTACCCTATTTGGTCACTTCTTCTTCTAGAGTCTGGCTACCAAGGTCCAGCTATTGAAGTATTAAAGTCTAGCAATCAAAAGCTCCCTTTGGTTCACCTAATTAACATGCTCAATTAAAATATACCACTGCATCCTAGCCCATTCTAACATAGACCTCCCCCTTTTTCTCTTCTTAAAAATTAACGTGCAAGGTCATTTGATGCTGGTTTTCTGCCTGAGTCAGAAAGCAGCCACTTTAAATTTTCTTTTTCACTTTAATAAAGGATCACTCTGTAAAAACAGGTGTTTGGGTGTGGTTTGTACCTAATCTGAGTAGGGGAGGAAGGTCTCCTTCAACATCCACCTGGCAGACTCCATTTTACATTTTAGCAGGCCCAGAAAGCAGCCACTTTAACACTTTAAGGCTCCTCTTCTTGAATTTCTTTTCTTTATTATTTGTGCTGGAAATCCAACCCAGGACCTCATGCATGAAAGACAGCACTCTACCAATATCCCCAAACTCTGTTTCAGTTTTTAAAAAGTAAGTGTGTGTGTGTGTGTGTGTGTGTGTGTGTGTGTGTGTGTGTGTGTGTGTGTGTGTGACATGGTGGAGGTCAGAGAACAACCTGTGGGAGTTGCATCTCTCCTTTGGTGACCTGCATTCATAACCCTCTGAACAATTGCTGGCCCAGGAATGATTGATATCATTCCCTCCTTGTAGGTCATGTGTTCTACTTCCTTGAATGCAAGATCCTTCCCCTTGGAAGTTAGATGCTGGGAATTTTATCAAGTTCCATTGATATTTGATTATTGTCATGACCACCTCCACCAGCAAGGAAGAAGCAACACCGAGACTCTTCCTTAAGCAGTTTACTCAGGAAACTGAAACAATCTTCTGACTCTGGGGAAAGACCCCCCACAGCTTAAAAGCACTCTTGCCAGCCAGCCCCAGAACGCCATGTGGCTAAGGAGGATAGGCTGGCATTTGCTGATGCAAGTTTGAATCTTAGACCAAGCCAAATAAGGAGTTGTTTATTCCAGAGAGCGCTCACCCTGGGGATGGTGGAAGGTGGAAACCGGCGCCATCTTCTGGCGCGGCACATAGCAGCTCTCCACAGTTCCCCCTTCTTTATTAAAAAACAGAGCGGGTGAAGATAGAGGCCTGATCCCCGGTGTGCAAACATGGGATAATGTATTGGTGACACCCACAAACTCTACGCCTGTGGTGACCCAAACCCATCCCGTACCTATTTTCCCAGGGGAAGGATCTTGGGTACAACCTTCATGCAGTCGGGCTTGTCTTCCGAGGGCAGCCTAGCCGTATACAAGCAAACCCTCATGCAGTGCTTAGCCTCGCACCCCGCTTAAGAGAGCATTTTAGTTCTTAATAGTGGCCACCCAGGCCTGGGGGGACTGCCCTGCCTCTATGGCAGTAAAGGCTTGAATAATCATAGCTGCATCGCACTTTTTCGTAGCCCTAATCGTGCATATACACCACAGGCAGACCAGGGAGACCATAATCAAGAGGCCTGCTAACTCTCCCATGCCTGCCCACTCTTTCAAATGATCCATGGTGGAGTTCAACCAGGAAGTCAGGCCGCTGGAAAGGGATAGGTCTATTCGGGTGGAATTCACATGCGCGATAGCCATCCTGAGTTCTCTCATGGTGTCTTCAAACTCGGATGACCAATTCTGTAATAGAAACTGAGATAATCTTTTAAACTTCGATTGGTGGTTAAAAGGTGTGGGAAAACCCCTGCATTATACATCCCCCATCTCTGCTCCGCCATCCCCAGTTGACTCATCATGGGAAGGAGCAGAAGCATCACCACGTTGACACTCATGGTATTCCTCATGTTGGATTTTCCTGATCAATCGTTCTGGCACCCACACCGGATCCTGTTGGTCCTGTGGAAAAACACAAACAGAACCTCGTGCCCATGTCAGCACGGGATCAGGCCTGCGCCAGAGGCCTGTCAGAATATCCTTCCATTTAACCATCCCTTTAGCAGGGCCATGTGGATCCTGATGTCTATCAGCCGCAGAACGGCCTTGAGCATCCAAATAATAGTAAATAGGGCGAGAGATAGCCTCTCCTTAGGAGTACTCCTTAGGAGTACGGCCATGGCCTCCTTTTTGTTTTTGCAGACATTCCTTTAACGTGCGATGGGCATGTTCAACAATGCCTTGGCCTTGAGGATTATAC